GGGGTAGGGGAAGGGAAAAAAGGGAAAGGAAAAAATATGAGAAGAGGAAAAAATGGAAACAAGGTCTTTGCAAATAGGGAAGGGTGGAGGGGGTGAAGGGAGGGCAAGGGAAGGGGAAATAAAATAGAAACAAGAGACTCATGTAAAGGTACAAGATCCCAATGATGAATGTAACTGTATATTATACCTAAAATGTACCAATAAAGTTAATGGGGGGCGGGGGGGAAGGCAGTGGAACCACTGAGCTAAATCCCTGGCCTGATCTGAGAGATTTTTAATATTAGGGATCCAGTTTCTGGTAAAATCCTAAATTTAATTAGCATACTTATATTGGGAGTTAGATTACCTTTCAAATTTGAGCACCTTTGATTCAACTAAGAGTAGTTAACAGCTTCCAGGTCGATTTGCTGCTTGTTTTCCTTAGAGCAGCAGCTCCCCAACTTGACCATCCCCCTAGTGTGAGTCAGGAGGTCTGGGTGAGGCCAGCGGTTTGCTTTTATAGCAGGTGCCCAGGGGCTGCAGTGCTGCCCGTTAGAGGACCACACTGGGAACCACTGTTTAGTGAGCAGAAGCTCAGGGGTTCCCTTGGAAGCCAGTAGGACATTTAGAAGCAGACAAATACAGGAAGGAAAGGAATAGGAGGGAGAAATACAGGGAGAATTGTGCACCCTCTGGTGCTTATGGCTGCCAGCTCCTGGCTGATCTGGTTTCCCTTTTCTCCATCCTGATTAAGTCAAGCCGACATCTACCCAGAGAACACTCTCTAGCATCAGAACTGTCATTTTTTAAAAAATTGCGCAGGAGATCAAACCCAGGGCCTCCTCACACATGCTGAACTCCCACTCTACCACTGAGCTCCACCCCACCCCAGACTGTAATTTTATTCAAGAGAGAGAGGAAAAAAAAAAAAAGATGAGGTGATTATTCATCAAAAACCTTCATCTGAAGCCTTTCAAGTGTGTTTTTATGGGCGTTTGTAAAGGGGTTAGGGAGTACATGGAGGGTCTACAGAAGGCTTGACATAATCATTGGAGACAGGGTCTCACTAAGTCACTGGATTGCCTAGGCTGGGCTCAAACTTGGGATCCTCCTGCCCCAGCCTCCCAGAGTGCTGAAATTACAGGCCTGTGCCACCTCCCACACCCAGCCTGATTTAATCTTATGAGAAGCGCTAAAAGTATTTCCTGAGGCAATAGGATTCTAGGAAGTTTTGCCAAAGAGTCACATGAGCTCAGGTTTCAATTGTCTCCTGGTTGGAAATCTGAGAAGGAGGCCTGAACATTGTCTAAGCCAGCTAGGCAGAGGATCAGGCCCTGCTGCTAGTTTGGGCTACATGTGGGAGGAGCCCAAGCCTAAGGCCATTCCTCTGGGTTATTTTCATTTAGCCATTTGGAAATCTGCCATAACTGTCTCATGTTTAGTCATTTTCTCCTTCTCAGAATGCTCTTCTGAAATTGTGGTTACAAATATTGAGAGATACAATTGTGCTCACAAAAGGCAGTGTCCCAAAGTAAAGGGGCTGTTGGGAGGAAGCCAAAAGAAGTGAGAACCCCAAACTCTTGCCCCAGATGAGGCTGTCTTTCACAGACACTTTTATTCCTCACAGTGCAATGCACCTGGGGAGTCCCCACTACACCGGGAAGGGAGGAAACAAGGTCTTGAGAGGTGAAATGAGATAACAAGTTGCAAATGAGTTTTGCTTGCTTAGCATTTCCTTTTCTTTCTTTTTTGAAAACAGTGCTGGGGGGCTGGGGATTTAGCTCAGCGCAGGGACCGGAGTTCGATCCTCGGTACCAAAACAAAAAACAAAAAACAGTGCTGGGGATCAAACGCAGGGTCTCACATATGCTAGACAAGTGCTCTATCATTGAGCTACAGCGTCAGAGCCCAGGTCTTTTAAAGTCCATAAAATGATTTGGTTTGGGGTAATTCCCAAAGGTGTTTCCATCCTGGCATTCAATCCCCACCCACCCAAGATCACCTCTTGTACCTTTTGGGAAGCCAGGGTAGGCAAGCAGTCTTGGGACTTCTAAAATAAAGCTCAGAGCATGCAGAAAATTCAGCCTTCCCTGAACCATGTTGTCCCAGAGGCACCATGTTACTTCCTGTTAATAGTTTTCAGTGGCTGTGGAATAGAAGGAAGTTCCTTGCTGTGACCAAAATGCTGTGTCAGGCAGCCACACTAAGGAAAATATGGTGTACTGTGTTGTATAGGAAAAAGTCAGTGTTACCCAGTCCCATAATCTCATTTTTAAACAAAGACATGACCTGGAATGTGCTGTCTATGGCTAAGCATAGCATTAGTGTTGTCTCCAAAAACAGTTTTCAAAAAATCTGTATACCTGGCTTGTCTGTTTCTTTTAGATATGCCCAGATTTTTTTCACTTTCTTATTTTGGAGGCAACTGAATTGCTCCTTATTGCAGTAATTTAGTCAGCATTTATTGAGTACCTATTGTGTGCTGGGCTTTGTGTAAAGTGACAAAAATACCAAGAAAGTCTCTGAGGTAAGGGAATATATCTGGATGGGGGAGGCCTGAGAAAGACCAAAGTGGGAGGGCAATCATCATTTATCAGTCCCTTCTTTCATTTTGTAGGAAATTGTAGACCATTGCTATGTGCCAAGGAGGTGGGATACAAAAGTAGACAGACACATAAGACTGACAGATTTCTGTCTTCCATCGAGACCATGCTGCATTAAAGCATGGTTAATCTCTACCAGAGGGGGTCATATCACCCTGTGATGGGGTGGATATTTGGGTGGGACCAGGGTTCCTAGAGGGTTTCCAGAGGAGGGGATCTGGGGAATAAAACAAAGTAGAATTGGATGCTTGCCAAATAAGGGAAAGGTAGAAGGAACAATGACCCAAGGGCTGGGCAGAGGAGGTGCTCTGCTGGGTATAGAATGTGGATTTAAGGAACAATGGTAGGAAATGAGACTGTAAAGTAGGCGAAGTTCAGCTCTTGAAGACATTTTATCCCTTGCTTAGAACTTTGGACTTCAACTTAATTTGATGGAAACCACTTCAACATCTCATAATGGAAGAATTATTACAGGAAACTATAGCCATTTAAAGGAGCATAAAGATGATATAACAACATAGCTTTTAAGTCCTACAAAAAGCAGAACATAAACATTTCATGCTCTCTGTGACTGTTATGTAAAGTATAATTAGGACAGTGGCAGAGCGGGGAGGGGGGGGATGTCTAAAAGTAGAATCTGTTACTTATGCAGTAAGATTCTTTAAGAATTCCTTTGCGATATTTACTCTTTATTGAATCCCTGTTCTGTGCCAGTAGATCAAGATGCAACCCCTTCCCTAGACCATCCGATATGGGAGATCGGATTGCTTTCTTGTACTATTAAGAAGTGTGTGATTATGAAGTGTACAGAATCGGCAAATCCATGGAGACAAGAAGTAGATTGGTGTTTGCCAGGATCAGGAGGGAGGGAGGAATTCAGTGATGGCCAACAGGCATGGGTATCTTTTTAAGGTGATGGAAATGTGGAATTAGACAGTGGTATTGGTTGTACAGCCTTGTGAATACTGTATCCTAAAACCTACTGCACTGTCCACTTTGGTTAAAATGGTTGATTTTATGTTATGTACATGTTATCACAATAAAAACTATAAGGGGAAAAAAAGTTCCAGTGGAGCCTGCAGCAGTGACGTCTCCTGTACCTTCTTTTCCCTCGTTTTTGGTAGTAAAGGGCAATCGCAAGTGTGAGCTGAACTGCCAGGCGATGGGCTACCGCTTCTATGTCCGGCAAGCTGAGAAGGTTATCGACGGCACCCCCTGTGACCAAAATGGCACGGCCATCTGCGTGTCCGGACAGTGCAAGGTAAGTGCCCCGGACTGGGGCATCCTAGGTGAAATCTTGGAATGTTTGATCTCTGGCTGCTGATCTCTTGTTTTGTAGGGAGCAGGCTGTTGGTGACCCCAAACCCACAGGGTTCCCCAGAACTGCGGAGCTCTGGGAGAGGTGGGTTGAGATGGGGTAGCTTGTCTGCTCCGTGCTTTTGATCTTCGGGGAGTCGAGGCATCCCTGTCTGGCATTTCAGTCATTAAGTGACTTATGTTTACACTGTGTGCTCCTTTCCTGGTGGACAGGAGCTCCTTCCCTGCCTGTGAAGCAAAGGTTATAGAAAGGGCACTGCTGTTTACATCCAGCAGTGTGTAGCATCGAGAGGGTGGCATTTTAAGGGAATGGCATACTTTATTTTGCCTCCCCTCAGAGGAGGCAGGCTTCCAAAGGAAAGTTGTTCAGTGCCTTTTATAGCAGAAGTTGTACTTTAAACAGGAAGAGTTTTCCACCTCCTTGGCTGTGAAGTCTGTTCCAAGAACTCCCGCCCTGCATTCTGCAAACATTCTGGGCTTGAGAAAGTCCTTGTGGGATATTCCTGCGGACTGAAAGCAGCATTTGGTTAAAAATGGGCATCTTGGGTGAGATGGCACAGATTCCATAGCCACGGTCATTGGGGGCTCACCTTCTACCCTCCTTTCATCTATAAATCCATTAGTGGAGTGAGGAGCTAGCAGCTAAAGGACTCTGGAGCCCAGATTAAGATTCTATCTTAATTAATACTCAAGAGCTGGCAAGACCAACTGCATGAAAGGAAGAGCTTTGGCTGTAACATCTGAAAGTTCCTGTTCTACTTTGTAAATTGCTGTGCGTCTAACATTAGGGCTCTTGAAGTGTGATTTATAAGCACAACCTCTCAATCCTCCCCACACCCCTTTAAACAATGGTTTCAAATAGGATACACAATAACTTGCCAAGGCAGAATCGATGTTCTCCAATTCAGAATGGAAGTTATGAAAGAGAGAAGCTGTCGGTCACTTGACACCTGATGTGTATGAACTGTCTTTGGAAGAGCCAAACCCTGAAAGAATTAGAATGTGGCAGAGAAGACAGGAAATAGGGTGGCAAGTTCCCTGGAGACTGAGCACGTCTTGGCCTCCAGTTCTTCATCTTTGGGAAAAACCTGGTTGTCACACATTCTCTCTGGGCTTCCGTGTCCTCGGATACTGACCAGAGCAGTTCTGTTGGATTCTATCATCTCCACTTCCAGTGGCCCTGCTTCTAAACATCCCTGAGTCTAAATGATGAACCTTGGAGCACTGTGGTGTTTTCTTTCAGGTCCCAAATCAACTGTGTTCATTTCCTGAATGCCCGGTCTGGGTGGGAGGAGGGGTGGTGTAGTGGTTAGGGACATAGCCCTGGAGTCCGACTGCCTGGGTTCCAATCCCGTCTCCTCCACTGATTGCTGTGTGACTCTGCCAAAGTTAGTGTGCTCTGTGCCTCTGCACGTTCTCCACACAATGAGGACAGGGAGGAGGACGAGGAGGACAACGGAAGTTACCACTGTGTTGTGGTGGTGAATCGCTCTTCTGCAGGTCTGGCATTCATTAATATTATCACCGTCTGTGCCCACACATATTCCATGGGACCTAAGTTTTCCATGCAAAAATTTTGCCTTTTTTTTCATGTGTTTGTGGCAGATGATAGATTCACATTGTCTTTTGAGACAGTGCCTTCACATTGTTGTGTGAATCCTGGGGTACGGGGGTGGGGGGGTGCAGATTCTGACTCACTTGGTCTGAAGAAGGGCTGGGGAGTCTGCTTCTCTCACAAGTTCTGTGTAATTCTGACGCTGCTGGTCCCCGGACCATACTTTGAGAAGCCAGGTTTTAAGGGAGGGACACTGTGATGAAAATATAGTTAACAAAGACCCAGACACAGAGACTCAGGATGGTGAGGTGTCTTGGAGGGAAGTTGAAATGTGGTCTCTTTCCAGGGGAGATGCAGTGTGTCTTCTTAGCGTTGTAGTTAGGGTCTCTGAAAGGATGATAGGAAAGCAAAGCAAACACTGACAAGGACACAGATGTGGAGTCTTACTAATTGATGAGAACCATTCAAACTATAGGGCGGCACAGTTTGCAGGTAACAATTGCTAAAGCACTGAGACGAACATTTTCTAGGCTGTGCGTATCTCAATAGGTATCTGATGTTACATGGGCCATTTTGAGGCACTTCGTATTTATTTTTTCTCTGTGCTTTTGCCTGGAATTCCCTCATTGAAATTGCTGGAACTGCTGACTACTCCATCCTCTCTAGAACTTCAGTTTAAATAATCAGAAGTACTTTTGCCTGCCAGGCTGAAGTCCTATTTTCTTAGCGGTTTTCAAAGGGTAAAGCACCCTTCCCTGAATATTTGATTGTAAGCCCAGAATCAGATTGCTGTCTCTGCCTCGCTGACTTGGGGCTGAAAAAGCTGTCACCCACAGACGGAGATCCCTAGGACGTGTGCCTGCCTCTGCGGGTCCCGCCAAGCCTTCCTAAGCCACATGAAGTTGAAGGTAGAGCCAGACCTGCAAATAAAGTGAACGAGAGGTGAGAGCAGTAGTGAGGCTATGAGATGAGCGCTCAGAGCAGCTAGCAGAGTAGCACATGGCCCCACACCAAGGCAAAAGAAGGGCCCAACCCACCTGGGGCAGGCTTAGTGCTTGTCTCCAGTTCCAAGTACAGCCTGCATTTGCCCAGTGGCTGGGGCTCCCTGCATGTTAGTTTGACTCAGCAGTTGGAAGGGAGCAGAAAAGATGCCAGCGTCCTAGGCGTAACTTGGTGGGGCTGGGGCACTGGGCAGAATGGGTGTCAATCTCTGATCTCCAGTCCCTCGGTGCTGGGTAACACAACCTTCTTGACAGGGACTAAAGCATGTCAGATATTGGCTCCTGGCCAGTGACCGAGTACACATAGACCTTGAAGAGAAAGGGCTATCGAGCTCCTGCCCTGCCTTTCCCAAGTGAGAGGATGTATGGGAGGCCACGGAGATTTCTCTCAACATCAATGGGAACATCTGGCCCATCTTCAGAGAGGTCTCGGAGACAATCCCAGACCTGACTGCCATTTATGGGAATGGAATAGCATTTAGGGTAATTAACAGAGAGCACAATCATAATTTCTATCCCTAAGCAGTGCAATAACTGTGCTGTGATCTATTTTTTACTTGATCTCAACTTTAAACTTTGTTTTAAAAAAAATTCTGAATTTTCCGTTGGATGTGTATATGTAATTACTTTTGCACACAGCTTAATAAAAATAGATGAAACTTTGATTTGAAGGTATTGTAGGCATTTGAAAGAGCAAGGTCATATCAGGTAAAGGACTTAGGGGGAAAAAAAACCTTTGTTTCCTGGATGCCACGCTTTCAGAAACCTCAGGCTTCCAGACTTGAAGGATCCGGAAAGGGCCAGGATCACTCCAACCCCTCCCCCTCTCTCTGCAGTGGGGAGGAGAGGCGTCTTTGGTCATGAAGGAGCAGTAGCACCTTGAGTAGGTGCTTTGCAAAGAATAAGCTACTTTACATCAGAGAGAGGGTAGGTTGGAGCAGCTGTAAGCCAGGAGGAGCCACTTCTGAGGGTTTGTTGTGTGCCAAGCACTGTGCTATGGGCTTTACGTACAAAGGATTTCATGCACACATTTGCCTTCACAGTGTCCTGATCGAACAGAAATTACTAATCCCCATTTCCAGAGAACTGTTGTGAAGATTAGTGAGATGTACAAACTGAGGGCCACATAGGAGTTTACTGTTAACATTGGCTTTTTAGGCTGAACTTAAATCAGAACAGAAAAAGTAGTGTAGTAGCTCAACAGTAGAGCCCGTGCCTCACTTGCATGAATTCCTGGGTTCAATCCCAGTACCACCAATAAAAAGGTAGTGTATTTGTAATGGGAGGGAAAACACTCATATGCTCTTTCCTTTTCTAAGTTCATTTTCCCTAGGTCCTGTTTCCAAAATGATTGTCTTTTCAAAGCACAAATCAGGACATGCCTGTCTTTTACTTAAATTCCATCCATGGCTTCCCACCATATATAGAATAAAGCTCAGGATTCCTGGCCATAGTGCTGGCTGGACCAAGACCCAGTCTTTTATTTTATTTTATTTTTTTTGGTACCGGGGATCGAACTTGGGTCCTTGCGCTTGCGCAGCAGGCAGCAAAACCACTGGGCTAAATCCCCGGCCCCAGGACCCAGTCTTTTACCATTACCAGCAGTGCTGCAATAAATAACCATGCTTGCACATGGGTTACTTTACAGGTATATGTTGGATAAAGTCTTACAAGGGCACCCAGAGTACATATGGATTTGTGATCTTAACAGCTAACGGGTGGTGAATTGCTCTCCAGGGTGATTGAAACAATTCACACCCCCGCCAGCAATGAATAGGGTGATTTGTTAGCCAACTTTGGCATTTTTGCCAGTCTTGTGTAGTTTTCATTCATCTTTATCTTGTTTTGAGTGAGTTTAAACATTTCTTCATATGTATAAGAGCTGTTCAGGGCCTGGACCAGACAGAGTGAGTAAGGTGCCTTGGCTACAAAATTTAGGGAGGCATTTGTTAGATTACTATGGTCTTCTTTAACTTTTGCCCTAGGCTCCCCAGCTGCCCGGCACTAATGCCAGCCTGCATGGTGCCCTCCTGACCGAGGACAATTTATTTACATTCCTTTTGTGTGATCTGTCTTCTTAAAATCTTTCCACTTTGTTCTATGAAGTTGTTGGTTTTTTCCTTCACTCCTTCAGGAGTTTTTCATACATTAAAAATTATTTATTATATAAATTGCAGGGATATTTTTTGTTTGTTTGAGTTTTGTTGTTTTGTTTCAGTCAGGTAGCTTTTTCACTTACACCTTTGCTCAAGGGGTTTTGTTTATTTTTTGTCCTGCTGAAAATCAAAATTTTCCTCCCCCTTCTCTTTTTTTATTAGTGCCTGTGTGTAACAGAACAGTGATGTTCCTTTTGGGGAATTGGTGCATCCATATAACATATCTTGATCA